AAGCTGTGGTAGTTAATAGGATTTTTGTAGTGATGGTAAGAAAAAAAAAGATGGATAGGAGCCCACGAAGAGGAAATGGATTGAAGAAAAAGACAAATGACACAAACTTTGTCGAGAATAATCAAACACTCATTAAAAACTTGTATAAAAGTTTTAATTAAGCGTCCATTCACACAGGATCACACATGCACATGGACAGTAATGTGTTTGTGATTGAAAGTCTGCGATGTCACGATCGTTATTGGCTGTGATGTCGGCGCCAACCCGGCAACGGCCCAGTCGGGTGAGGAACAACCCACCCCGTCTTTAATGTGATTATCTTAAAACAAATGTCTCTGCTTTGTGAAATTTCTTACCTTTTTAATTCAAAAATGCGACTGCAGAACATTTTATCGAGTTAGACGAAGTGATTTGTTTAAGCGTACAGAGTGCTTACAGACGCAGGGGTGAGACGGGCGAGACAGGCAGACAGCTTTGAATGCACCATCCATCATAAACATAAACAAGACATTAATACTAGCTTGTGTGTGTGTGTAGTGATGGTGGTTGGTGTTTGATCCAAAAAAATGTAGTGTTTTTCAGATTAAAAAGGCCTAAAAAGCAACAACTACAAATGATTCAAAAGGGCGTGTACAAACTTAAACATATCAAAAGGATGAAAGCATACATGAATATATGAATATTTTAATTAATGAAATGGGTGCTTGAGTGCACAAACACACACACATACACACTCACAAAGACACACAGACAGACAAACAACACATCCTGTGATTGTGGAGTTACCCCAAGGGCATGTTCTGAGCGGAGGTCACAGTTCAACTAGGCCGAGCTTGTTTAAGAGCTGCTCGCCTGGAAACTGAGGGGGATATTCTGCCCCGAGGGTCTACGAGTATGTGTGTGTGTGTGTGTCGGTGGAGCTGAGTCAACGACAGGTGCGAGTGTAATGGGGGTGAATGGAGAGGGGGTATGAACAAGTGATCAATTTCAAATGAGCTTTGTAATACTGTTTATATTACTCGGGGGTGGAAGCGTTAAGATGATGATACATGGAAAGCTTTTTAAAGCTGATAGAGATGATACTGCCTCCAGCTCCGAGGGCAGAATGAGTACCATTTTGTTCCGATTGCAGAGATCAAGGTACGGAGCCTGGCATGTGCCGTGATAAAACTGTTATCCTTGAATTTGTCATTTGTTTCCTCAAATTAATAAATTGTACAATATAATTAGTAATCTGTGCACATGAATCAACAATATACAAACAATCTTATCCCAAAGAAGCACAGTGACAAACACAAACCTGTGTATATCCATGAATCTATGCATGCAAAACACAAGTTTATCTATTTATTTATTTGTTCTTGCAGTTTTCCCTCATGAGGGATGGACTCTCCTAAGCAAGGGGCAAAAATCCTCCAACTTCTTCCCCTCTCTCTCTCTCTGTATTATAGGTGGTCAGGATGGAGCACATCAATAAAATAACATGACCCTCCATAAAATCAAGAACACTTATTAGTCAAGAAACTGATCCTACTTTCATATTTCTAAAGATTTTCACTATTTTTTAGGGGCATTAGAGAATCAACTCATACCACCACGATGTAAAACTGCAGAGTTGTTATGCGAACTGTAGGAGCAACTAAAAGTGTAGATATCTAGACCCACAGAGGTCCCGGTTAGTCTCTAAAGTGGGAATAGGGATGAGGTTGGGGAGGGTAAGGGGGGACGTACCAGCCTCAAGCAGCATGCTGACGGTGCTTGGGTCATCAGCCAGCGTGGCGTAGTGAAGCGCTGTGCAGCCACGAAAGCCGGCCCTGCTGCTGAGCCGGCTGCTGAATTCATCCTCTCTGGACACGAGAACTGCAGGGAGGGACGGAGAGCAGAGAGGAAAGATCAGAACAAAAGATGGCATTTTTCTATTGCAGAACATCCACTGGTTGACAGGGAGAAATTACACATACAAAGCCTGCTGCTTTACAAAATTTCTTCAGATGATTTCTAGCACAAAGAATAAAAAAGAAAAATGTGTTCTTTAAATAAGTTTAGACTCAAAATGGATGTGACAAAATACAACTCCAATCTGAGATGTAACCAGACTACTTTGTGGAGCTGAGCAGAATAATGAATTAACAAACAACTTTATCTAGAAATGTTTGAGCCTCTAAACCTGGAAGAACTTTCTTTAATTCATTCGCAGTCAACGCTAAGACTGGAGAAAGTGTGACAATGATACCGCTGCAGACTACAAGATTGTCTTTCCTGTTTCCAGCTTCAGAAGAGTTGTTCATTTTCACAGATTTAAGCTCAACTGTCCAACACGATAGGAACAATACAAGTTGTGTTTTAGGGTCTCCTTTGCTGTGCTCCTTACTAATAATAGAGATAGTCTATCATTCTCTCCTTACTTCTCTTTTTCATAAGAGCACTCATCTCGTGCCACTCCTCCATCATCCATTTTTATTTTTTCCGCCTCCTTCCTCTCCTCCTCGGTATCCATCAATTCCTTTCATCACGCGCACCCTCTTCTTCCATCCCTCCCTTCCTCCCTCCCCGCTCCCTCTATCCCAATAACTTTGTCTCATCCATTTCCTGACTTCCTCTCCCTCCCTCATCATCCCACCCATTTCCTTCAATCTCTCCCTCCCTCTATCACCCCTCCAAAACATCCACATCTTCTTCCTTCTCCTCCATCTTTAACCTCCCCCTCACTCCATCTATCCCTGCTCTCTACCTTCTTCCCTTCCGCTCCCTTTCTTTCACTGCCTTCCTCTTTTCATCCTTCCTTCATCAGTCTTTCCCTTCCTCCATCCATCCCATCTTTTTTTCTCTCCTCTCTCTCTCTCTAAAATCTCTGGGCAGTCTCCTCTCTGCCAGTGTACTGTTTGTGCTTGTGTGTGTGTTGGTGTGCTGTCGTGTGTGTTGTGTGATGCAGCAGCAGAGACCAGGCGCGGCCGATAATCAATAGCACCAATACAAGCGTGGCACAGGCCCCTTAGGCCCATCCATCCAGCGTGCGCTGGAACGCTTCCCCACGCTACGCGGCCCCACGTGGACGCCAAACCTGACACGCCATCATAAATGCTCTGCAATATACATATCCCATATAAAGTATGTCTGCAGAACCCAACACAGACAGGGAGGGGGTAGCGATGTGTGTGTGTGTGAAGAGCCTGTGCCATCCTGTCGCCGGGTTTTGTGCGAGCCTCCGGAAGAAAACAAATAAAACACACAACCCGTCCTGTTCGTTGTCACCGACTAAAAATAAATACTAACGGACGAATGAACGTGTACATATATGCAATCTTTATGCAATCATAGATGTCTCATATATCGGTTGAACACTTAGGTTCATATGTGTAATATAGGAAACCACACAGCAACATGGCGCATGATGATTAACACAATCAGTCTGCCAAGTGGGTTTTCTGTTTTTCACCTTCCAGTGAGTGATGCCTTTCTCCCGCGAGGTGTCGTAAACGTTGTTGAAGTGATCTCCGGCGTTTGGGGTGCGGCACAGGCTTCGAGCAGAACCTTCACCACGGCGACGTGGAAAACAACAAAGGACACAGAACAGCGTTCAAATACGTGTAATAATGTAATGTGCAGATTTTCTACGCGTTTTAATTCAGTATTTACAGCCTGGTCAGAATATTAAAGATATATCCCAGTCTGTGGGTTGGTGATATGGAAGTCTTCTAATCACAAAATGTGTACATTTTATAATTGTTTATAATCAACAACATATGGTGATATTAGTACATCACTGGTTATAGAGTAGTATCTGAGGGTCTCTCATTTTTGCTGAATCCTGTAAAAATTCACATCACAGTGACGTCACGTCATCCCAAATAGCTTTGACCTTAAGAGTTCCCTTAAGTTTCTCTCGATCCCTAAAAAGAAACGTGCTATATACATACACAGATGGCAGTGCAAACCATCTAATTCCTCAACTGACAATGAGCTGCTTTCACCTGATTCTGCTGCTTCCTAAACATGTACGACATGTGCACAGTGAAGGGGCCAAGGGTCGGGCATGTTTCCGGCGCTGTTCTTGTTGTGGTGTTTGTGTGTAGCCCTTCATTGGAGCGTACCGCCTTATAGAACAAACACGAGTACCTCGGCAACACCACTCACTGTGACCCAGCGGACATTCCAGGTACCGTCTCTCCGTCTACAGAACACACTCACACTTTACCACCATGAACGTGAGCAGTGGCTTTGACATTGAGAGACAAACACATGAACACACAGAAAAACTAACCGGCTAGTCTGTGCCGAATGAGAGCGAGAACGGGGGCGATGGCCGAAACATGAACCCTGGCAGTACGCTGCTGGCTGTCATTAAACCTGTGAGTATGTAATGCAGCCCGAGAGGGAGCGATGGATCATTTTCAGCTAAATGGTTATGGCATGGCGGCTGAAAGGGCTTAAATGGAGCAAAATGATTATTCATAAGAGGATGGGGTGGACTCCATTTTTAGAGCAACTACAGTTGACCACGTAACAGACTACAGCTTCCCTGTGTTCCAAAAAACGAGTATTGGCAGGAGGTTTGACGTCAAGAATGATGGAGCAACTGCGTAAGTCAAGTTCTGATGTTACACTAGAGTCAATTTAAAGGTGAGGAATGAAATTAGACATCCTGTTCACCTGATACAGCAACAGAAAGTCTGGTTTAAAAAGAAAGTCATTAGATATTTCAACAGGACAAAAACGTGTTCAAAATATAAAACATTGTGTATTTGACAACAGACTAAGATATCTGAAGCATGCATCATTAAATGCAAACAGGGATGCAACCAACATTTTGTTGACTTTTTTTTTTTTTTTTTTTTACTTATTCCTCTATAAAACGTTTATCAGAAAATAATGAATAATGCCCACAGCAGAGCGTATCGTCCAAGCAAATGACTCCATCAGTAAAATATATCAGCTGAACTAAAGAAAACCCAGAATAAGAACGAGACAAATTTTGCCTTTACCCATTAACATAATTACAATCTGACTTTGGGAGTTTGTGCCGTCACTACAGTCCATGTGTGTTCCTGTGGGAGAGCGAGGCTGAGAACAGCCTAGCCAGGTCTTTGTGTCTGACCTTGCTGAGGGGGTATAAAGGACTATAGGGGGGTCCCCTTTTGTTACTGTATCACTGTGGCTGGGGGCGGCAGGGGGGCCGTGACCCACGGAGGGCTCTCCTCTCACCCTTGCAAGCACTTCTACAAACACATCGATGCATCCTCCGAGACACATACAGACACACACAAACTCCAACTATGGCCGGTCACACGAGGCTGGGCAGGACTGTGTGAAGAAATTAGATGGTCTGAAAAGGGTTAATGGCATCAGAAAGGTAAACATGAAGGGATAAAGAGAGGAAAATTGCAGAGAGGAGGAGGAGAAGGAGGAGGAGTGGATGAAAGGAGGGAAGTGCAACTACAAAGATGAAAGAGAGGGAGATTTAATTACACAGGATAGTGCTAAAACTAATGAGCTTTTGAAAACAGTTTATAGTTTTACTAATCAACTGATGATCAAGTGGCTAACTTTATTTGGGACATTTAGGAGGAGAGTTGCAGCACTAATTTGAGGCCAAACTGAAGGCATGCAGAGGTTAATTAGGTTAAACTCTCATTTTAAAGGACTGCGCCAAAAGTTGAAATTACAGACTTCCTACGGACTTCCTAATACGAGATTATTTTACTTTCACAGCTAAACGAAGATAAAATGTGTGTTGAATGAGGAGGGAGTTACCTTGCTGCTGACTTAACATCCTCATATATAACATAGTCTTTAACTTTTTTTGTCAGTCTTGTGCCAATTGTGTTGACCCTCAGTGACTCTCTATATATGTATATGTAAATATATAGTCAGCATTTTGTTGAACTGGAACATCCTCATTTTTTTTCCTGCAGTGCAGAGATTTAAACCATTATTCAAACCGCTACAGTCGGTATTAAAATTACATTAATGTAATCTGTTTCAGAGCTGAGACGGAGTTTCTCTTCTACAGAACAGATGTTTCAAATATGGACAATCAGTTTAAGGATGTTCTTCCTGCTGTACCACCATCGAGCTCTTTTACTGAAAGCTTTAAATAATGACCACTGTTCACTTAACCAGCCGGTGCTGAGGCTGCTAGATTTAACCTTCCAGCTCGTGCCGAGGTTTGCCAGCAGGGGACTGGTGTTACTGCTGAGGGCTGGTGTTGGTTTCTCATCCTTGCCCTGGAGGGAAGACAGGAAACAGACACTTCCGTCTCTCCTGGGCTATAATAGACACCCGAGCCGAACTGACCATCCATGTCTCTGACCACCTGGTCCAGACGCTGGACCTCACTTGACCTCATCTCACCCGGTGAACACCTGGGGTCAGATAGATGCCAGGAAGAGAGGTTCACTGCACAAAGCGACTTATTGTACTTTATTGTAGCTAACACTAACAGACATTTTGAGTGGTGGTCAAGATGTCATTTTATTTAACTGCAGTATATATGGTAGGTCTAAAATCGTAAGTAGAGCCCGACCAAAATATCGGTTGGCCGATATTTGCCTATTGCTGACATATCGGTATTGTGTTGTATCTGCTTAAATGTCATCGGATATGCGCCGATATTAGCATAAAACAGCTAGAATGGTTGATAATGTAGTATATGTGTTTATGTTAAATTATTATATTCTTGTTAATTATTACATGTTTGTATGGTATTTAGTGATTAGCTTAAGAAAGCAGCCTTCTGAGTACTCTAAAGTCGGTATCAGTATCGATCGCAAAAACTTGTAAGTAACCATGAACGTAAAAAAAAGAGAAAGAAAATAGAAAAACATGTTTTCAAATATTGTAATGAGGTATACTTTGAATTGATGACCCACAAAAAAGATGAGGTTGATCGTGTAACAAAACCGCAACAAACTTGACTTGTCACACAGGCTGCTACTATTTAATAATAAACTAGTCAGAAGATCAGTTTTAAAATATTACAGGGAGAAATGGCAGAAACAGACACGGTGGACTGGTGAGATGAAGAGCTGCAAGGAAAGGAGAAGAAAGCTTTAGCAGAACACATGATGGTTGAAAATCATTACATGAACCCTTTAATGTGGCACAGGGTGGAATAGCCTTGTTGTTCATTATATTATCAGTGAGGGAGTATGTTTTTATTGTGCATGTAAAACAACAATATCCCATAAGGTAACTGACTCTGTCTCTACATCAGACACAATCGTGTTCCATCGTGACCAAATGATAATATTTCACTCTGGTGATTTCCACCATTATTCAGCTAATCCCGATCCCAAACCCATAATCCCACTCCACGCCACTCTCTCTCCACATCTAAACTATTCTCTCCTCTCTTTCCCAACGACCTCATCCACTCGTACCACCATCCCTCCGCTTTTCCCCTCGTTTTGTCCTCCTCCCTCCCATCGAGTCACTCGGCCGACAGGTCGGAACGGTCAACAGGCGTTACACTCGGCTGAGCGCTCATTGTGCACGTGAATGCGGCGAGGGAGGGATGGAGGGAGAGAAAGAGAGATGGAGATGGGTATTGTGTGTTAAAGAGTGCAAACAGTGGGCCAGGCCCTGCGCCTCCCTGATTTAGCCCCACATCAAAGCTAAGCAAACACACGCCCCCCTGAAGTCTCACCCTTAATTCTTCCACACACCCCTCTACTCCACCCTGATTCTCTCACACAGCCGCACCCCGACCCCTGAACATGAGTGAGACCGCCTGGTGGACGCAGTCAGTGTGGTGAAATCCTCTGCCTCTTGAAACATAGTTATCACTTCTGGTCTGGGAAAATATAAATACAGCGTGAGGGAGGGGTGAAGTAATTCAACAATAAGATCCACACTGACATTCTAGCTACGGGCGAAACCTTGTTCATGAGTAATGTTCCCTGTGTTTTCACTTAACGGCCGCAAATAAAGTTGTGTGCGACTGAGTAATAGGCAGTTGGCCTGTAAGATATTTGGTATAAACTCCCCTTGTTTGTGAGTTTGTGCGCACATTCACACGTGCATCTTCACTTGTGTGTGTGGATATAAGTGTGTGTGTGTGTGTGTGAGAGAGACGTGTGTGACTGATGTGTGTGAACCGATGTTCTGTCTTCCCTGCAGCAGTGACGGCTCACTGGGGGGTTGGAAGACGGGATTAAACACAGAGGAGTGTCACTGCCTCGCTGAGTTATAGCACTCATAACACACACACAAAACAGTGCAGTGACACACACACAGACAGTGTGTATAAAGACAAATACACGTACAACCAAATTTGTATCCAAAAACACATGACATACATCAATGTTACACACAGACAATCACTCAACACACGTCATGGAAATATAAAGACATGCTGGAGCGAGTAGAAGAGAGTGCAACTAAGTATTTTCATTCACTTCTAATCATTTTTACGACTGATTGATTATCGTTTAGAAACCGTCAAAAAAATGGGAACAATGCAGGGTGGTTGTTTACAAATCACTTGTTTTGTCCAAAATCCAAAGATATCCAGTTAACAGTCACATTTAAGGAGCTGGAATCAGCTAATTAAAACTATTAACAATTTATCAAAAACTGCTGTCATTTAACTTTCTGTCAATCTACTAATCAATTAAGCGCCTCAACACTTCAATGTATTATAACACATTAATATAAAAATCATAATCCAAACTTTTAAATTAGCACAAATTAAAGGCTGAAACCTGAAACACAGAAACATTGATTACAATAAGAAAATGTCCTATTTCTTTTCTTTCTGCTACAATCACACACGGTTCTAGTACTAAAGATTTTAGCAGCATTCATTCAAACTATCTCACGAACTTGAGGAAAGAGCCACTGTAACCCTGAGATTTATGGTAAGCTCACTTTAAGCTATTTTGATATTCAAATTTCACATTACGCTTCTCACGGACACATGAGGCCCTTGAACAAAAAAAAAAAAAGTGACCAAACGATCCTGATGGAGGGAAGAAAGAAGAAAAAGAAGCCCTGTAAATTGGATTTGGCCCGGCCTTAACCTCGGCCCCTCTCTGTGTTGTCGTGTGTGTTCTGGGGGCCAGGAGGCTAATTTAATTTGTTGGACAGAGAGATGGGGGGAAACGGGTAAAGACCGTCTGTCAGTCTGAAAGTCGCACTTTGCACTTCTGAAGACCTACTGTAACAACCAGACCCTAGGACATGGATGACATATGCTCACACGCTCACTCATGCGGACAGCTGCTTGATACCTAAACACCACGTTGCTGTTACATATGCTCAGTGAGGTTTAGCTGGTTGAAGACGCCACACAAACCTGTGCTGTCGGTTCATGGCGGCCACCATGAGAGCAGTCCAACCTAAGCGGTGGCGGTGATTTGGGTCGACCCCCTCTTTTAACAGCCTGATGGAAAGAAGAAACAAAAAGTGGTTGTAACTTCAAACGAGCATCAAAATCAATATAAAGAATAAGGCGGCTGAAACAAGTGTCCATTTATTAGTGCTGTCAAAACAGTCGTAGTTGTGTATGTTAGCGTCTTACTGGCATATAATGATGTAAGAACAACAACGTGGGAGTTAAAGGGGAAAAATCCCGGCCGTCCATCTGCTTGTGTGACTGTATCAAAGACCTGCCTTGTTAGACACACCAGCATGAAACCAGCTCATGATGTCTTTGTCTTTATCTGAAGCCACTTGCTCCTTGACCAGTTAATGTGTCTCTGTGTGCGAGCCAGGTGTGTGTTGAGCTTTCTGCCTGAGGCTATGACATCAGGTACTAGAGTGGCACAGTCTTTAGGTGTGTGTGTGTGCGTGTGCGTGTAAGTGATCTGTCTGTCGTCTCGTGCTGAGCAGGCAGACAGTGTGTGTGTTTACAGTCAACACGGTGGCCTCTGTCTAGGTCTGCACTCAGCTCTGATTCTCTCTGGCTCTGTTTTCACTGCCTGGTTTGCATGCGAGGTCCAGGATCATGGTTTGGGCAGAGAAAATGGCTCACCGCAACAGCTACGTCTGAGCTTTTCAGTAGCTGTTTCGGTTCAGTCAAAACCCGAGAAGCTCTTAATACTTTAATTTTACTAGAGGGGACATCGTAGGAAGGCAGAGCTTTTGCATTTCACAGAATAATACAAGGCAGAATTGGATGGAACAGCATTGTAGATGAGCTGTGGTCCATGAGGAGGAAAAGGGCTCAAGTCAATTAGGTCAGACTACATGAGGAGGATCGCAGAGTCGTCATCTCTACAATCAGAGGTGACAATATGCTTGAAGTTTCAGACATTTTTGGTTCCGTTTTCTGTATTTGTGAAGTGAACAAGAACATCTGCAATTAAACCAGACCTTAACAATGGGTTTATCAACCTAAAAGTCTTTAATGCAGGTTTTACTACGAGCTGTAAGAGCACAGAGACACAATTCTATTTCACAAGCTACGGCTGCAATAAAACTGGAGGGAGAATATTAGCTTTTTCCACCAATAACATTTCCAGATCCACAAATATTGGATATAAGCACAAAATATGAGCCAACAGCAGCTTCCAACCCTAAAAATGTCAGCATCGCTATCAGCCTCCAAAAACCCTTACGAGTGGAATACGCTTCTTAATGGTAAAGCCTGGGCCTCGTGACAGCACATCAACTTCATAAACGATGTTAAAACGCTGTCACGGGATTATAAATGGTTTCGCCACACAACTGTAGTACAACTGCTTTTATAAAGGCTGTGTGAAAACGAGACCTCCATCCTCTTCACTGGCTCTCAGCAGACACACCCTGACACTCTACCACGACTATAAACTAAACCCAAGCACTTAACACATCTGTGATCTGCTGACTGGCTGTCTCGCTGACTGTCTCGCTGCACTCTCACCTTCACCATCTGCCACATGGGCACAGGTAACCCAACCCGGCAAATGGAGACACACACGGATAAACACATGTACGATGTGCTCATACACACTGGTACAGACCGAACGACACACTGGATACGTACGAGCACAGATTTAACACACATTAACATTGTTATTGCCCCCAAGGTGAATAGCATGACGGATGAAATCCAGCCATCCAACGCTATGTTGTGCTAATATATTACCAGGCAGATTGTACTTTAATATTTTGGTGTCGCAGCGAACACCTCCGTCTGTTTTCTTAATTGATAATTATCAGCAGAATAGATGGGACCAAGAAGTACTAAAAGTACACCGACACTACTGACGTACTCCTTTTTGGGCGGCTCTGGTTCAGTCTCTGAGTGTGCAGGACAATTATAGGGAGCTATTTGAGTTTAAGATCAGCGTCAGACAAAAGGCACATTTTAATTTATGAAAATAAAAAAATAAAGAATAAAACTCAAGGCACACAGATGAAATGGAGCTGAGTGTTCGAATGTCCTACAAACAAACAAACACACACCTCCTCAGCACATTTACACACAGATGGTTCTCTCCTTCCACCTGGTGGTTGTTGGCGGGATTACACATACAGGTAATGTAACTGGTTACTTTCAGACTGCAGATGATCCTGGCTGGTTTGTAAACTGCCCTCAGCAGATGATCTGTGACTTGTACAAGACTATAAGCTCTGAACAACACTAAGCAGCAGAAGATGATGGTTCATTCAAAGAGTATGTATGTATGTGTGTGTGACCAAAAACGCAGAAAGAGCTCACAAGAAAACTGTAAACTGTATGTATGCAGACCTCGCACAGGCTGAATATATGACACATGTTTACATTATATCAATATTAATGTTTAATATCTATGTGTATACATGTATATCTGTTCAGTCATCATATTATATATACATATTATTATTATATTATTATAA